TGATATTTTATGGGATGGGGAAAGGGTAGAGAGAAAGGATGGGGGATGAGGGAGGGAAAGGAGGAGGAGGAGGAAGACAGATATTCAACACTGCCTTAATATACAGCAAGGATACCAAAATGGAGTCCTGACTGGAAAAATCTGCCACATTTATGATCAACAGGGGAAAAATAGTAAAAACTCAATGTGCCCTACAGAATCAATGTGTACTATGGAAATAACTTCAAAAGTCAGTATGAAGAAATACTGAGAATCCTTCAGGCTGACAATATCAAGCATGCTGAAGTCAAGAAGAAGGTTAGTAGTGAATACTGTACATCATGAGAGATAAAAAAAATTCTCAACATTCAACTACAATGATAGAAATACCAGAAAGGCAATTAACAGGGCAAATTCAATTATTAGATATACAGCTGGAATAGAAGACTGGACTCGAACAGAACTAAAAGCCCTGCATAGAAAGATCAGAAAAATAATGAAAAGGAATCATGTCCTTTATTCATTCAATGATTTTGACAGAGCCTATGAAGAAGCATAGGAGAACATGGAATGTTGTAAGTATACAAGACAATTACATAATTAAAAACGGTAATATCTGAAGGACAGTGAGGAAGATTGGCTGAAGCTAGTCAACCATGAAAGCTTACTGAATACCAAAGAGACCAGCTGATGTTTAAGAAAAGCCAAATGAAAAATAGAAAAGATCATGGCCAATACATAAAAAACCATACTAGCAGACAAAGCATTTAAAAATGGCAAAAGCTAAGAAAAAAAGATAGAGGGACTAATTCTGATTTCAGAAAATCAAACCTTAAGAATAAATGCATATAAAGCCAGACTTGAGAAGACAACAACCAACAGCAAATGCCATCTCTGCAAAGAAGATGAAGAAACAGCAGAACACCTGTTGTGACTCCGACCCCCGAGCCCGTCTTATCAGAGGAAAAAGACTCCGAAAGTGAAGGAGAGGAGTTGACAGGGCCTCCCTCTCCAGGACCCTCCTCTCTGGCAATGCCTCAAGTATCTCCCAAAGGAGAAGAGATAGGCCAGGAGCCAAGCATCTCCAGACAGCCGCAGTCAGACAGCGACGGAGATAAGTCTTGGCTGGATCCCTGACAGCGTCGGAAAGACAAGCGCACGCAGCAGAGAAGGAGGCGTGCCAGAGATTAAGCTGAGTCACTGGACCACACCCCTCAGGGGATAAAAGGGGGTGTGGTGGCCATTCAGGCTTTGTAACGGAGAAAACTGAACAGCTAGCTAGTCATACCGTGTCTCTGGAGCTTCATTATCTGCCTTCCTTGGATTTATTGTGGACTGGACTTGACAATTCTTTGGCTTTGTGAATTTATTTTGGTTTATCTGACGGAGGAGGAACACCTCCCTCTGTGAGTAAAGTTTTTGGCAAGCAGCTACTGGGTGGCTGCCAATTCTGTTATCGAAGGAAATTATTGTCTACAAGTTTCTTTTAACTCCTGGCTGACTGTTTGTGTGCATATGTGAGGGGACAGAACAACACCTAGTTAGCTGCTGCAAGAAGATTGCACATACTGACTGTCAGCATTCCAAATTAGGCTTTCTTCCAGCGCTGACATAACAAGTTGAAGCAGAAAGAGCGGAAGCTTGATTTATTGCTGAGATGAACTTTTACCTAGTTTTGTATATACAGATAGGGTTTCCTGGGAGACGAGGGTGGGGGCTGCATTCCTGTGAAAAGAACGTGCCGGGATGTAGAGATGGATCTGTATGATGGCCAATGGGACGTGGGGGCTGGAGAGCGGAAGAGGAGGGGGTTGGAAGGAGGGGCCAGTTTGGCTGCAATTTGAGTCAGAAATGTCGGATTCTGCTATGCTTAAAAATAAAATGTTTCATTAGACAGCTTGCGCTTGAGAATGAAGTTTATTCAAGATAGCACCGAAACCTGACACTGACTACAAATAACAGCATTGAAAGCGGAGCGTGAAGCTCCTAAGAATGGCAGTTTTGAATTTGATGCCAGGGAGCACTTGTCTGCTGCTGGCTGGCCGTGGGAAGTGCTGGGCTCTTGCCAGAGACGCAGGTTGGGGAATGGGAGCGCAAATCTCCAACGATAAATTTGAAGCCCAGGGGCATTAGAGTTTGTGAATGTTCTGCCCCAGCTCTGGATCCCAAGGAGTGTGACACACACCAAGCTCCAAAAACTCCGTTTATTACAAACAGGCCCCTTTCAAAATGCAGGCTTTCAGTGAAAATGTCCTTATTGGCCTGCTATAAAGTACAAAGAATAAACAAAGTCCAACAAAGGTTGGCAACCAGCCCAGAAACCAAGATGTGATAAGAAACTCACTCTCCAAAATGTTCTGCGTAATAATTAAACGTTGTTTCCAGCAGCATGTGCTATCTGTGAGCGAACTTAAATAGGCTAAGGGCCAATTAGCCCCAAGCCTTATTCTCGAGGAGACCTCCTCCTGAGTAGCCACTCCTACCTTTTGGCAGCCCTGCGTGCTCGAGCATTGAGAAGAGGCTCCTCCACTTCACTCTCTTCACTTTAAGGAGCCTCTGGAGGTTCTGAAGGCCCTGGCTGAGTCTCTGCCTCTGGCACCACATCTTCTTCAGCCTCCTCGCTGTCCGACTCGAGCGCCAGCTGCACAGGCTGCTGGCGCGACACACCAGCCTCCTCCTCGTCAGGATCAGCCACAATCTGTGCAGGCCGCTGGCGGGCCACAACAGTGAAGAAGGAAAATGGCCAGCCAACTAGCCCTTTCAGGAGTGCAAAAGCTCCACCAAGCTGCTTTCCACTGATAAAGGGAGTGCGGAGCTCCACTATTCTTCTTTCCCATCTATCACGGGAGCGCATAACTCCACCACTGCTATGGAATGCCTGCAGTTCAACGGAGTGTAATTATACATGCAACAGTAGACTGTTGCCTGTCAGGCAGCTGGGAATCCTCTGCCAACGGCTGGAGCCGAAGCCCTGGCCGTTGGGGAAAAAACATAGTGACTCAACCACTGATAGGAGTCAGCTGTGGAACTCATGCTTGTAGGCAACAAAATCCATTCCTGGATGCTGTCTCCACCTCTATAGAGAACAGCTTATATCCTGAAATGATGCCTTTAATGAAATCAAACAACAACATCTGCCTATTCCAGAATCTTGGGACGTACTATACTCAATAGGTGAACAAAATGCCAAATCCAGTTTAAACATCTGGTTGACTCTGTGACAAACAGTAATTTCTTAAATTACATGCTGCAATCACAAAGACTCTGGGGTGGCTTACAAACCAAACTTTTAAAAAAAGAGAAAAATAGGAAAAAAACAACGACAGTATTATTACTTGCTTTTTAATAACAGCATAAGTTTTGTGAAAAACAGCAGAATATTTAAAGAATCAACCATCCCCTTAGAAATATTCAGTTCTTTCACCATTTGATTCATGCACCAATGAATCCTACTGCCTTCTGGGGAAAGAAAGCTTTTTAGAAGTTGCGCATATACCTAAAAATAACTCTTGCTTCTTTGTGTTGTATAATGTACCACGGCTTTGACAAACATTTAGAAGTGAACACATCTGTCAAGTTCTATTTTGTTCAGTCTCTCATTATATAATCCTACAATTAATATTACAACAGTTAGGTTTGTTACATTGTTATGCTTATTTCTAATAACTGATTTTTTGGTAGAACTTAATTTATTATTAAATTAAAATGTATGCAATATTTATATATGATTTTTCTAATATACATAATTCTTATCAGTCAATTAATGTAAATAGTTTGTTTTCCTGTACAGTATATATTTTTCTATAGATGTAATCTATCATGTTCAAATTGGAATAAGTACAAATTTCAGAATATAATGTCCAAATTCACGAAGTGTGAATTGACTCAATTTTTATTGAAACATAAACAAAATATATTTTTTCTTATGTCTTAGAACATTTCTGAGATACCTATGGAGTTAGTATAATCTTTCATATTACTGCAAGAACTCTTGTGAGTGGTAACAGTCCATTAGAATGTTTATTTTTTTCATATTAGGTCAAAGTATTTTTCAGTTTAGTCCAATATTTCAGATTTTGACTAATAGCAACATTATACTTTATTTGGGGAAAATATTTACATTATGCTATGTATTGTGCTAATATAATGACAATAACAACAATAATAATAGAAATATTTTATAATAATAAAAGAAAACTCAGTCTTGTAAATTTAGTTCAGTTTTTGCCCTCTGTGTGACAATTTCTTCAAAATCCCATCATTTGTGTTTTGTGAGCAATTTTTCTTCATGCCTACAAAATGTAGATATTTACTTTTTGTATTGTCTAGTAACCAGGAAAGTATATGCAGCATTCATAAAATTATTATTTAACAGTACAAAAAGTCAGTAATGGACATAATGCATTCTGATACATAGAGCTAATATAAATGTAAATTGGGATGTAACTTCCTTATTTATTTATTTTCTTGCATTCAACACTGCCTGTTACACTCCCAAAATATTAGCATTTGTATTTGGTATGGATTTTAGCACAAAACTTCTTCTTTCCCCTCATCTTATATATCCTCTCTTTACCTTTGACTTTTCACACTTGAATAATTTGAACGATTCAGTTCATGGTTTTTAGAAACCATAATTTACCAAGTTCAGCCTAGATTAATTCTAATTAATTTCAATTATGAAGAGTGGAAACAAGCCAACTTTGAACCACATTTTATGAAATTGATGTGCTGTATTTTATCCATTTTAATCACAGTTTGCTTATTAGGCGATAAATTGAATTAACAATTAAACTAACTGAACTAGAACAAAAGAAATAATTTCCACTTTATTCATGACTGGAACTAAAGATGAAAGGGGAGAAGAAGCTGTATAGGTCAAAGGGTAAACAAGTTTTTTTTTTCTTGGGTCTGAGTGCTATACTGATCTACAGCTATTTTCTGCTAAGATTTTTAGGAAGTGTTAGTAACCACTGAATATGCTCTTCCAACTTACATTATTTTCAGTATGACATTCTTACCTAGAACAGTCAGAAAAGCCTTGGATGTCTTGACAGGCATAGTAAATAAAGAACAGGTATATTGCCCTTCATCTGACAATGAAACATCGGTGACTCTAATGGTCAATTCATGCCATGAAGCTCGAAGCAGTTCAATCCTATTGTCCCTCAAGGCTGTAAACAAAACAAAAAAAAAAAAGAAAGAAAGAAAGAAAAGAAATATTTATTTATATATATATGTATTTATTAAAAATCGACAATTTTAATTTGGAGTTAGAAGACTAGCCTATGTGCAGTATAGTTTAACTTAAAAAAATAAATGTTGTTAGCAGATAAAGTGTGCTGTTCATATGCACAATTTTTTATAAAAGACAGTTTGAAAAATGCATTAATGTTATAAAAAACAGGTGTCAAACTCGCGGCCTCATGCTGTCATGTGACGTTTTGCGACATTTTTCCCCTTCATGGAGCTGCGTGGGTGTGGCCTGTGTGTGATGCATCCAGCCCATGGGCCGTGAGTTTGACACCCCTGTTCTAAAACAAAGGTGGAAAGAAAAAGGAAAAAAAGTTTTAGTTTTGTAAATACTCTTTTTGCAAGGCAATACATTGTTAAAATCAAACAAAGCATAGTCATTGTCAAGAGAGATATAAAACACAAAGCTAACGTTCATTCCATTTTTATATGTTATAGGTCTTTTGAAGTATATGTATTTACACTGCTTGCTGTTTGTAATAATAATCTGACATTTTTTTGCAAAATAGAAAAGTCTTCAGTCTCTTCGACAGAGCAATTGCATGAAGCACTTTTAGATGATCTCAAGTCTTCCCTTTGTCTAGAGAGGAATCAGTCTAGTCACCAGCTCTTTATTTCACTTTATCCCATTCTTTCAGTGCAGCCATTTCCAGTTCACAATTTCTTTCCTGCAAATCATTCATTCATATACAGGTAGTTCTCAACTTACAACCATTTGTTTAGTGACTGTTCAAAGTTAGTAGAACACTGAAAAAAATTGACTTATAACCATTTTTTATTCTTGCAATTATTGCAGCATCCTCTATGGTCACATGGTCAAAATTTAGATCCTTGGCAACTGGCATGTATTTATGACAGCTGTAGTAACCTTGGATTATATAGTCACCTTGTGTGATCTTCTGACAATAACCGTGTTACTAATTTAACAGCTGCAGTGATTCATTTGCCAACTGTGGCAAGAAAACTCATAAAATGGGGCAAAACTCATTGAACTGCCTTGCTTAGCAATGGAAATTTGGGGTTTAATTGTGGTCATAAGTCGAGAACTACTTGTATTTTTCAAATAGAAACCTTTACCTTAGATCTCTGCTAAAAATATGTTAATAGTATCTTGAATGCTACACATTCTTCCTCCTTATTCTAAAGCATGTTTATCTGTGCAAGCTTATATAAACAAATCATTTTCTTTACCATAAAAGGTATTTATTTTTTGAAAATAGTAAAATTAAAAATGAATGTGAGAAGAATCATTAAAACAGCAAATTTATGCACAAGTGCAATCTAAATTTGTAAGAGATAAAAAGTTATATGAAATACGAAAGAAGCCGCAAGAATTAGATAAAATTAATTAGTAATATATACCAATATCTACTGAGGTATAAAATGGAAGAAGAGGTAGTTAAAGAGACCATGATTAGAGGGCCAAAAATTTTGGTTACAATATAGAATTGGAGAAATGGGAAAAATTTTGTGAAATAAACATTAAATTGACTCTTTCAACGTCATTCAAGGAAACTAATTAAAAATGTTCTACAGATGGCACTTCACACAGTACGACTTGCTAAAATGTCTCCGAAAAATTCTCCAAATTGTTGGCAATGTAAAAAAGTCCCTTGAACATATTATCATCTCTAGTGGACATGTCCCAATGTGAAAAAATATTGAATTAAAATTAGAAGTTGGATAGAAGAGATAATGTGGATTGGAAATCAGAAATGTTTTTACTGGGGATATTGAACAGAACTTACAGCAAAGAAATTAGATATTTGATTCTGCATATAATTACAGTGGCAAGGATAGTCCTGGAGAAGTAAAAAGATCCCAACAGAGGAAGAAGTAATTAAGGAAATCCTGGACTGTGTGGAGATGGATAAATTAATGAAAGAAATAAAAGAAAAGGAAGATACAGAATATTAACAAGTATGTACTAAGTGGTATGAGTGGCTCAAGATTAGGGAAAGTAAACGTGAATAAACGATGGAGAGAAGGTGACAAATGTGTAAAATATTGTAAATGAAGAAAATTAAAAATAAAGGGACGATAAAGATAAAGATAATAAAGGATGGGAAAAATGGGGAATGTATATACCGTATTTTCCGGCGTATAAGACGACTGGGCGTATAAGACAACCCCCGACTTTTCCTGTTAAAATATAGGGTTTGGGCTATACTCACCGTATAAGACTACCCCTCTTCCAACGCACACCAAATAAAAATTAAAAAACATCAACTGGCTCACCCACAATGTAAAAGCAGCTGTGCTAGACCCAAAATGGCCCCTGCAACAAGCAGGAACCTCACACAGCCACAAAAAGCCCAAAAAAACAACTTTCACACTTTACACACACAAAATTCCACATACAGCTTTGTGAGATTTTGTGTGTTTGTGTAGTTAGAGTGAAACACTACAGAAACACACTAAATCTCAGAAAGCTGCACAAATATTATTTTATTTTTATTTTTATATGAAAACCAAATTTAAAACTTCCTAAACTTTAAATGGCTAGGTCTAAAAAAGAACAACTAAAAAAAACCCCAATTAACTATTTTTTTTAAAGCTCCCAAAGGGGAAAAAAACTTACCCAATAGAACAGGGGTCTCCAACCTTGGTAACTTTAAGACTTGTAGACTTCAACTCCCAGAATTCCTCAGCCAGCTTTGTTTTGCTGGCTGAGGAATTCTGGGAGTTGAAGTCCACAACTCCTGCCTGCTTGATTGCAGGCAGGGAGTGGCTTGCTGATGGAATGGATTCAGGCAAGCGAAGCAAGGCAAGCGTTGCAATTAGCAGCTAAGGTAAGCAAGCTGGAGGGGGAAAACTATTTTTCTTTTACAGGGCTCTGGCAATCCCAGCTGAGTTGCCTGATTAGCAGGCAACTCAGCTGGGATCGTCAGAGCTTGGATCAATAGCTCTGGCGATCCCAGCTGCGTTGTCTGGCAGGCAACTTAGCTGGGATCGTCAGAGCTTGCAGAGCCACATAAAAGGAAAAAAAGTTTTTTTCTTTTACATGGCTCTGGCATCTCAGCTGAATTGCCTGATTAGCAGGCAAAGCTGGGATCGTCAGCGCTTGGATCGCCAGAGCCATTTAAGGCTCGTCAGAGTCTTTCGGGCTGGTCAGCCTGGTTACAGGAGAACGACACCCCACGTATAAGATGACCCCCGACTTTTGAGAAGATTTTCATGTGTTAAAAAGTCACCTTATACGCTGGAAAATACGGTAGTATCATGAGTTTGTGTTTTGTATGTTGTATTGTGTTGTGTTGTTGTTGTAAAATCAATAAAAATAAATTTAGTTAGTTAGTTAGTTTATTAAATTTCTATACCGCCCTCCTCCCGAAGGACTCAGGGCGGTGTACAGCCATATTAAAACAAACATATACCAAAACAATTAAAAACAATTTAAAATCAATATATATATAAAATTTGGCCCTTATGTTAAAAAACTACAAACACCCGATTTAGAATTCATTTGCTAAGCCAGCCCGGCCTGTTGGAACAAAAGAGTCTTAAGGGCACGGCAAAAGGTACGGAGGTCAGAGATCATGCGAATCTCCAGGGGCAGTTGATTCCAGAGGGCAGGTGCCTCCACAGAGAAGGTTCTCTCCCTGGGTGTCACCAGTCAACATTGTTTGGCCGACGGCACCCTGAGGAGTCCCTCTCTGTGGGAGCGTATTGGCCGGTAGGAGGCTATCGGTGGCAGAAGGCGATCCTGTACATACCCAGGTCCTAAGCCATGGAACGCTTTAACGGTGGTAACCAACACCTTGAATCGCACCCGGAAGACCACTGGGAGCCAGTGCAGCTTGCGCAGGACAGGTGTTACATGGGTGTGCCGTGTCGCCCCCATAATCACCCACGCGGCCGCATTCTGGAACAGTTGGAGCCTCCGAGTGCTCTTCAAGGGGAGCCCCATGTAGAGAGCATTACAGTAGTCCAGACGGGACGTGACGAGGGCGTGAGTGACTGTGCGCAAGGTGGCACAGTCCAGAAAGGGATGCAACTGGTGAATCAGGCGAACCTGATTCCCTGGCTCCTCTGGCCACAGCCATCATATGGTCCTCTAAAGACAGCCGCACATCCAGGAGAACACCCAAGTTGCGAGCCCTCTCTGAGGGGCCAAGATCTTGCGCCCAATAGTCAGCGATGGAGCTAGCTGGCTATATCGGGACGCCGGAAGCCACAGCCACTCGGTCTTGGAAAGTTTGAGTCTGAGCTTGTTTCTCCCCATCCAGTTCTGTACGGCCTCCAGGCACCAGGACATCATGTCAAGGACATCAATGGGGTGGTCCGGGGTGGAGCTGTACAGCTGAGTATCATCAGCGTACTGATGGAACTTCAGCCCAAAACCATGGATGACCTCACCCAGCAGCTTCACATAAATGTTGAACAGAAGGGGCGAGAGCACCGACCCTTGTGGCACCCCACAAACAAGGCGCCTTGAGGTCGACCTCTGTGTCCCTGCCAACACAAACTGCATACGGTCAGAGAGGAAGGAGGAGAACCACCGCAACATGGTGTCCCCCACTCCCAACCCCTCCAATCGGCGCAGCATGATACCATAGTTGATGCTATCAAAAGCTGCTGAGAGATCTAATAGGACCAGGACAGAGGAACAACCCCTATCCTGAGCCCTCCAGAGATCATCAATCAATGCGACCAATGCCATTTCCATGCTGTACCCTGCCCTGAAGCCCAACTGGTATGGATCTAGATAGACAGCTTCATCCAGGTACTGGGGGAGTTATCGCGCCACCACGCTCTCAACAACCTTCACCACAAAGCGAAGGTTGGAGACTGGACGATAGTTTGCTAATACAGCTGGGTCCAGGGAAGGCTTCTTGAGGAGGGGCCTCACCACTGCCTCTTTCAGGGAGGGAGGGAAGAAACCCTCACTCAGAGAAGCGTTAATAATCCCCTGGAGCCA